AAAAAAAAATTACATATCTCGATAGATTTATCGATTGAGATTTTTTTTTAAAATTATTATTATTATTATTATTGTAACATTACCTAAACAATGATGATATGATGAATCCTATTGAAATAATTCTTTTTTTTTTTTTTTGCTTGCCTTCTCAAAAGAAAGGAAAAGAGGAAGAAGAAAAAAAAAAAGTCAAAAAAAAAAAAAAAAATTACTCGTACAAGTTGTAACGACAAACAAACAACAAACAATAAAACACAAACGTTAACAAACAAAAATTTCAAACCGCACTGAAGAGGGATTCCACAGACTGTGTTGAGTGCTTGGCGCGCACCACGTGGAGACCCATAAGTGGGGGGAAAGCCTACTAAAAATATCTTTCGTCTTATGCCAACTTCTTATTATTCTTTCATTCGGTCCGTTCATTACGACCGTTCCCCCATATGGTTTTCTTACTTACTTTTGGGAGGGGGGAAAGGACGGTACCCTTCCCTGTCCCTTCCACCACCACCATCTCCTTCCTTCCTTCCTTCTTTCATTACCGCATTTTCCTAAACCCTTTTATCGCGATAAACGTTTTTTTTTTTCCCTCTCCCCCCGTCGTTCGGAAATTTATTATTTATAATAATTATTTGAAAAATGACACGTTTTCGTCGTGGAACTAGAATATAATATTTTATCCTCCTTGACCTAAACAACTCGTAGACAATTACCAAACGACGTAAATTCTCGATATTCGCGTTTTATTCCGAAAGTTTTTCGTTTTCGAAAAAGAAAACCACCGTTTTATTATTATTATCATTATTTTCAATTATTATTATTATTATTATTTTTGATACGTCGTTAATGCAAAAGATCAAAACAGTTTTTTTTTTTTTTTTTAACGCGTTTAAATTACGTCGACGTAATTTTATTCGACCTTGAGCTTTGTAAAAACAGGTGAAAAGTCGTAAAAAAAAAAAAAATTGCAAATCGTGACGTAATATAAGTAAAACGTCATCAAACATTCCGGAAGGAGAGAGAGAGAGAGAGAGAGGGGGGGGGGAGGGGAGGGGAAAGGAAAGAATTTTGGAATTCGTTACTTACATCACGTTTTAAATTTTAACGTTCGTTTTGTTTTTCGGATTTGATAACGGGAGATGATGATAAACCGTGGGAAAAAAAATTAACCGACGACGTCGCGGATTCGACGCGTCAGGTTTTAACTTGCACGACGTACGTCATCATCGTTTAATTTTTTCCGGCGCTATATAAAAAAAACGCGGCGCTATATAAATTTTTTCCCTAATAAATTTAACACGCGCGGCTTAATCCATCATCGAATTAATTTAATTTATAGCGTTAACGCTACAAGCGTTAAACATATAAATAATTTAAATGACGTTGTTAACGCCTCTATAAAAAAAAAAAAAAAATTTTTTACTATATAATATAGCGACGCAAAAAAAAAATTTTTTTTTCTCTCCAGGAATCGTTTCAACTGGAATCATTAATAATAATATTATCGATTATTTCATCGCTATATATAAATAATTTTAATTATAGCCGTAAGCTATAATTAAAAAAAAATTTATCGATCGATCGATCGATCGATCGATCGATTTTAATTTAATTAAATAATTTTTTTTTATTTTTAATTAAGACGTTTTTATCGGACTCGATTTAAAATCGAACGATTTATCGTTAAAATTACCGATCGGTTCGTTTTGAAATTTTAAATGACGTTCGGGGAGGAAGAGGGAAGGCGTTTGACATGTTTCCCTCCCCTCGCTTCCCGCCCACGCCCCCTCATTCCCTTTTTTTTCCAGTATTCGAATGGATTTTCTTTAGAAAATTTATTTTTTCCCATCGCATTTTTTTCTTCTGTTTTCTACATTTTAAAAATTATTATCATTATTATTATTGTTATTATTATTGTTATTAGTATCATTTGAATTGAAATAACGAATGATCGGAATAATACCCGAACCTGTTTTTTACTACATTACGTGGCAATAACCTTCGAATAGAAAGAAAGAAAAAAATTCTTGAAACGATCCTGAAGAAAATTAAAGATTAAAAATTTTTTGCTATCGGCTAAAAAAAAAAAATTTATTTACTCTATGATATCTATTTATTATCTATTTATTTTGAATTGCATTTAATTGAAAAAAAAAAAATGTGACTCGACTACCCTGTTTCTTCCACGTTCTTTCGAGCAAAAAAAAAAAAAACCAGTCGAATATTTATTTAATTATTGTAAATATACCTTTTTTTTTTTATCAGGACCGAATTAAGAATAAAAGTAAATGAATTTAAATAAATAAAATAAAAAAGTCGGAGTTATTAGAATCCTTTGAAAATTTTTTTTTCTTTGGGGAAATCGGGCCAAGGAAGAAGAAATAAAAATATCAAAAAAAAAAAAAAAAATTGTTTCCCCTTTTCTCCCATTTCCACCCCCTTTTCTCCCGTTCCCATTTCCACCCAATTTGGCAACACTGTCAAGAAAGTAAAAAAAAAAAAAAAAAAAAAAACGAAATTTCGAAATATAAGCACGAATTTAAAAAAAAAATTCACACACTTTAAAGGCTTTAGCAGAAAACGAGAATCGAACGATTTCGTGAAATGAAAATTTAAATTTTTTTTTGCTATCGTTTAACGACTTTTGCTGTCGTAAAATTAAACAGAAAAAAAAATATAAAAAAATTGGAAGGTGATTTTTTTTCCCCTCCCCCCGGTTTCGTAAAAACTAATTAGAAAAAATAAAAAAAATTACGAGGGGTGGTAAAGTCGGAAATATTTAACCTAAAGGGTTGTTATTATTATTATTATCATTATTACGTTTTTTCCTTTTGTTATAAAAATAAAAAATTAATAAAAAAAAAAAAAACGGGATACCGAAAAACCGTTAAATAAAATGGCCGAAAGGAAATTAAAAAAAAAAAAAAAAAAACGTGTAAATAGAATCCGTTCATCACGTTTTTTTCCTCCTCACTCCTCTTTCTTCTTCTTCTTTATTTCCCCTCGTCTTTTTTTTTTTTTTTAAATTTCCACGAATGGAAAAAAAAAAATACAACAACAATAAAATAAAACTTAATGTTGGCACTCCTGAACGGAATTAAAAAAAAAAAAAAAACAGAAACTCATCGTACATCATCAAACGTGTGGATACATTTATATGATAATTTTCAACTATTTGAATGATTTCTTCTGCCACCCTTCATCTTTTTTTTTTTTTTTATCCGATTGCCTTTTTCCTTTATTTCTTTGTGTCCCGTCCCCCCATTAATTCCCCTCCCCCCATTTTTTTTATCCTTTATAGGAGAATCGACGCTTGTTTTGCATATTATATGCCTTCTTTTTGTAAAATATATATTCAATATCATTTTATAGTAGTAAAAAAAAAAAAAAAAAAAAAATTTTTTTCGTCGGTTTATAACTCGAGATATTTTTTTTTTTTTACCTCATACAATGTTTTACGTGATTATTGTTTTATGATCCTTGAAAAAAGCAGAAGAAAAAAAAAGCAGAAGAAAAAAAACGAAAAAATTTTTTGAACCCGTTTGAATAATTTTATTGTGATTTACGAACGCGTAAAATTTTCTTCTCCCTCTCGTTTTCTTATTCATTATTATTATCATTATTATAATTATTATTATTATTATTATTATTATTATTATTACTATTATTATTATTATTAATTCGTTTTTTTTTTTATGTCTTCCGACGGCTGTTAAAATTAAAAAAAAAAAAATGGCCGACCGCGTCGACGACGAAACAAAATAAAATTTTCTTACTAAAGTTAAAATTTCAATTTTAAATAAAGTATTTAAAAATTTAACCAATCAATCAATCAATCAATCAAAGAATAAATAAAAATTTAAATTAAGGGTTGGAAGGGAAAAGGGAAGAAGCGAGGGGAGGAAAAGGAGAGGGAAGGAAAAGGAGGAAAAGGAACCCCGAAAACGCGAAACTTTTTGTTAAAAATTCGTCTGACAAGATGTTTTTTTTAAAATTTTCCCTCGGTTTTTACTTCCTTCTCGTCACTTCCGTTTCCGAAATAAAATAATAATTCGACAATATGACTACTGCTACGACGACGACGACGTTAATAAGAAAATTTTTTTTTGTAAAGAAAAAAAAAATAAATTAAAATAATTACACTCCATGTTTTGCGGTTGTAAATAATTTAGGGCAACAATGCCAATAATAATAATAATAAAAGGAAACAAAGTCGAAATTAAAAGGAGGAAAATAAAAGAAAACTTTTTCGAGAAATTAAGAAAGAGAGAGAGAGAGAGCGAGAGAGGGAGAGGGAGAGAAGAAAACTAGAAAATAAGAGAATAATAAAAAAAAAATTTTTCTTTCTCTCTCTCTCTCTCTTTCCAAAATACAATATCATAAACATCCTCCAGGCGGATTGTAAAATACACCGCGAGACACTTTCGAAAAGGGATGAGGGTTTAATTTTTGAGACGGGGGGAGGGAGGGAGGAAGGGGAAAAGAGGTTCTTCTAATTACTCCTCCCATCGCTCCTGAAAATTCTCGATGGCCTCCTTTCCTCTTACGCAAAAAAAAAGAAATTTCCCTTTTTAAAACAATGTTTAAGGGAGCCATTTCCGCCGGTTTTTCAAAAGTTACACACACGCACACGCACACCCACACACACACAATGTCTTAGTTCTTTTTATTCCTTCGGGAATTTAAATTCTCGGGTTATTAAAGTTTGACATAACACGTTTTTTCCTCCCCCCATTCACCTCCTCCCACCACCCAACCACCCTGATTTCTTTACCCGTTTCCGTTATGACGTCATCATTACATATTACGCATTACATATGTTTGTATATATAGATATATTGAAGTACGCGTTCGCGCGCATACGTATAATTACACGCGGGTAAATTTTACAAATGCATTCGTATTATGACCCACGCACTCACGTACGCACGTACGCACACACACTAATAATAATAATAAAATACAAATAAATAGAAATAAAAAATTAAAAATAAAATACAAAAAAATTATTTTTTTTTCGCTTTTCTCTTTCTTTTTTTACCCAAATCCGTTTGTACGGCGATGTCTTCGTGGTAGGGGGGTATTATTTTGGGTAATATTTTTTGCTTGGGTGTTCTAAATTCCAAAATCATTTTTCCCCTGTCGGGTATTTGTCCTTTGTCGCCAACTTTTAATACGAATAAATTTTCATCCGGATTTTTATCGTTTGTTTGTTTCGTTTCGCCACCTTTTTCCAATCCGCTTCCACCGTTTGTCCCGTCTTTTCTATCCGCATCCGTTTGTCCGGGTAATTTTTTTTTTTCCGTCATGTCTAAAACCAGTTTATTTCCTTTTGTTGTTGATGTTGTTATATTGAGCCTTTCACCATCCCCTACAATAAATTTACATTTTGTTGTTTTCATTTTATTTTCGTGTGATGTGTGCGTGGATGCGTGGGTGCATGCGTGCGTGTGAATGCGTGTGTAAGAAGCGATTAGAGTTGTTTACCTTGACCTCCGCGAGGTGTCGTATGTGATTGATCGGTATTCATTTTAATACAACCGCAACCGATTCTTCCTTTGTTCGGATTCAATGATGATTTCGCACCGTTCGGATCGTCATCTCCCACGTCACGTCCTTTAAATTCGAATACTTTTTTTCCTTCACGATTTTTAAATAAAACGGGATTTGATTTTATATCGGATCCACATTGAAATTCCGTTATTATGTTTTGTCCCAAGCAAGAAAATCTTATATATATGCTAACTTCGCCCATGGTTCTTTTACCCGGTCCGATCAACATGAAACAATCTTTTATCGATTTCGATGCGGGTAATCTATCGGGTGTGAGTTTAGCTATATCCACGATCTGACGAAACAATTCCGACACGCATATTTTAATGGTTCCTATGTCGACTTTGTAGGGTGCACCACCCGACAAGTTGTTGTGTAGTTTTTTCGACACGGTCATTTCTAACGTGAGTACCGGAGGATGATCGCACTGGTATTCGTTAAAAGCAAACATTAAAGATTTACCACAATTGAATTTGATTTTTTCCGAACCGTTTTTCCTATTACCGTAATTTTTTTCGCATATTTCCATGGGTGGAAAATTTAAAAACGATAAAGAAAGACACGTTTGTCCGTCTAATATTTCTTGATCCACGGCACACGCATCGATTGATACGCAATCGACTAAAAATTCAATGAGGAAAAGCTCTTGGTTTTTCGTCGCGAAATGAGTTGCCGATGCATTTTCTTTGTTTTTTTTTTCATCTTCGTTTTCCTGACCTCCTTCCGGTTTTTTTTCAACATTTTCCACTGCTTCTCTCGATTTTTCCGTTTTACTCGGACTTTTATCTTCCAGCGTTTCATCCGCACGATTCTCGTTACTCGGATTTAGGACTATCGTTTTATCATCTCCTTCTTCTTCGTCCGGATTTAACATTTTTTTTTACGTCAAGGTATTTACCCTAATCGCTAGATATTCCAAAACAAGAACAAAAAAAGTGTAAAATAAAAAAAAAATAAAATAAAATAAAAATTTTTTTGGTTTTGTTTTAAAAAAAAAAAAAAAAAAAATATTTATATATATATGATTTATTTCAAAAATTTTCCATGTTTTTATTTATTTTTATTTTTTTTTTTTTTTGTTTTAAAATTTAATTTTTAGTCACGTGATGTAAACAATGGCTTAGATGGTAAACAAATTAACGGAAACGGAAACGATTAATTTTTTTTTTTGTTTTTAAATTGAACCGTGATAGAAGGCCGGAACGAATGTTTGTTTGTGAACGGTAGGTAGGCAGTCAGGTAGGTAGGTAGATAACTCATCGATTTGTTATTTTTATTTTTGAAAAAAATTTTCGTCCGCCATTTTGATTTCGATTTTGTTTTACTTTTTCTTTTTCTTCTTTTTCGATTTATCTTCTTTTTCCGTTTGAACCATTTTATCAAATTTTCTAGGTACGTCGATGGGTCTATCGATTTTAATTTTTGGCGTTCTCAATTCTAATTCTAATTTTCCTTTACCGTAACTTTCACCTTTTTTACCTATCCTAAGGAAAAATATATCTTTATCCGGTGAATCCACTCCTTGCACGATTTGTATGGGTTCGTTTCCGCATTCGCCATTTTTACCACTTCCAGGTTGATTCACTCTATAGACTCTCGCTTTGTTTTCCGCTTTTCCCTTTTTACAAATATGTTGACTTTCGGGTATTTGAAAACCGATTTTGTGACCAGGATATCCATCATCCGAATTCGTCGATTTGCTATTTTCCATCATTTTTTTCTGACTTTTTTGTATTTTAATCGTCAACGCGTGACCGTGAGCTTCCGTACCAAATTCGTCAAATTCATCGTCATCGTCTAAATCGTCCGTTCCGTTTGCCGGAGCATCTTCGCAACAGCATTGTTGTTGTTGTTGTTGTTGTTGTTGTTGTTGCTGTTGTTGCTGACCGTGGTTTTGTTGTCCGTATTGTTTTCCCTGTAAGTGTTTCGATTCGGATTTAACACCATCTCCGCAATCTCTTCCTGATATTTCACCCCATCCGGGTACCGGCGGACATAGATCTTCAGCTTCATCTTCCATTCTTAAATCTTTTGCCGTGCATTCGTATGCTTTACGTGATTCTTTATTTTTGAACATTAACGGTTCGCAATCGTCGTTTCCTCTTTGAAATTCCGTCACTACGTTTTGTCCCAAACACGATAGCCGTATATAGATGGTGACTTCCGCGGATGGCCATTTTGTATTCGATGCGAACAATCTGTAATTATCTTTAATTGATTTCGATATTGGAAATTTATTTGGATTTTTATCGACTTTTTCGAAAACTTGTTTAAATAATTCTGTCAAACATATTTTCGTCACTCCCATGTTAAGCCTATTTGGAACGCTACCGTGTGGTAAAACTTTTTGTGCTCCTATTTCCAAAAAAATCCTTTCCGGATTTTCAAAATCGGATTCGGAAAGTGCAAACATTAACGATTTACCAGAATTGAATTTAATACAATTTTTACCAGTTTGTTCGCACGGATTGAAATCCGTTTCGCAAATGCACATGGGTGGAAAATGTAGAAAAGTTAAAACGACGCACGTTTGTCCTTGCAACAAACACGGATCCATGTGACTAAATTCAGTTTTATCCTGTTTCAAAAGCAAAGTGTCAACGAGGAATTCAATTAAGAAAAGCATTTCTTTTTCTTCTTCCGGTGGTACATTTCCATCACCCTCATCCCCTCCCGGTTCTTTCGCATTTTTATGATTATTATTCTTTTTCTTATCGTTATCATTACGAGAATTCATTAAAAAAAATTTTTTCTTTCCTTTTCTTTTCTTTATTATTTAAATAAAAATAAATAAATATCTAACGGGGGAAAAAAAAAAAATCTTAAACTAAAGATTTAGATTTCAATAACAACAACAATAATAACATTAGCAGAAGACGTTAAATGTAAATACTATTATTATTAAGTTGGACAAAAAAAAAAAATTGAAATCATAGAGAAATTTCATACGTGGAAAATTACCTTTATTTTTTTTTTAAGTTGGCAATACTTGATTTATATAAAAATTAAATTTGAATTTTTTTTGCGTGTGTGTCAACATGGACGACGTTTTTTTTTTTTTTTTTTTTTTTTTTTTTTTTTTTTTTTTTTTTTTGATTCTTCTCAATTACATTCGTTTAATATTATTTACTCTTTCTTAAAAGTTTTTCAAAATAAAAACGAAATTTAATAGTTTTGATTGATCTCTCTCTCTCTCTCTTTTTACCCCCCCCCCTACTTTGTAAATCCTAACGTCTCTCTCTCTCTCACTCTTTCCCTTTTGCATTTCCTTTTTCCTTTATCTTTCCCCTTTAGTTTTCTTTTTCTCTGTCTCTCTCTATCCCTTTCTTTCTTTCCCCCCTCTCTCTACCTTTCTCTCTTCTTCCCCCCTCTCTCTCTAATTTTACCATTTTTTCTCTTTTTGCATCTTTTCTTAAACGAGACAACCATTTGAAATGATAAAGGAAAAAGAAAAAAAATCAAAATTAAAAATTTTTTCTTTTTCTGCTGCTGCTGCAGCTACCGATAATAATAATAATAATAATAATAATAATAATAATAATAATAATAATAATAATAATAATAATGATGATGATAATAATAATGACGAAAACTTATATTAATTATAAATAAAATAAAATAATTTATTGGATTTATTTTTTTCGTTTTTTCTTTTTCGTTTTTTGAGGTTCGGTCGTTTTATCTTTGAAATAAGGTTTCATAGGTATGGGTTCGATTTTATCTTTGGGAGTTTTAAATTCCAACGAAAAATGTCCCTTTTCGTGGGGTCCCCCCCGTCTACCTCTTTTTATTATTCTCAATATGAAAACATCCTTTTCGGGATCGTTTAACATTTTCGCACTCGTGTTTTCCGGAGTTTTCACTTTTTCAACGAGAAAATTTTCTTTCGAATGATTATGAAGTTGTCCATTTTGACACGTGCTCACGTTATAAAGAATAGTTTTTGCGTTGGGAGCCGTTAATTTTTGGGGAGGCGGTACGGTAAATATCAATTGATTAGCACGATCCAAACCGACTCGGTTCGGATCGTTATCAACGTTATCATCCGTTGTTAGATTTTTATCACTTTGACCTTGTATTTGACAACCGTCACGTGGTTCTAAGCTTAAACTCAAATCGGACATGCCGGCGACTAAATCGCGGGGTAGTGGAATGTTACAATCGCAAAAATCCGTTACGTGAAAAGGTTTCGGTGGATCTTTCCTCCTGTTTTTTTCAAAATTTATCCTTATTACGCTCCCGTTTATTTCCGCATATATTTCTTCGTAATTTTCATCAGCCGGATCCGGCGGAACGTAATTTTTTTTCTTTTTCTTTTCCTTTTCGTACTCGCAGTATTTTTTCACTTCCAACGGTACCGTTCGATACCCGCTTTGATCTTCTCTCGCATCTTTTTCAACGCATTCGTAAATTTTTTTAGAATCCATGTTTTTATACAGGAGCGGAAGTTCCGGATCTTCATTTTTTTCAAATTCCGTCACGATGTTTTCACCCATGCACGTTAATCGTATGTAAACGGAAACTTCTGCCACGTTTTTATTTTCGTTGTCTATCAATTGATACGTGTCTTTGATTGATTTCGAAACGGTTTTCCCGGGTTTTTCATCGTACAGTACAAAAACTCTTTTAAACAATTCCGTTAATTGAATTTTAGTTTTTCCAATTGGAAGTTGAGAAAATAAAAACGCGTGAGGCATTTCCCTTTCCGCCGATATTTCCAAATATATCGGCGGCGGTTCTTCGAACAAACTTTCCGTCAATGCAAACATCAATGATTTACCAGAATTATACTGCACGACGTTATCTCCGGTTCTTCTCGTCGGATCCACATCCGTTTCGCCTAATTTCATTGGTGGAAAATGAAGGAATGTTAATACGACGGATAAAGGACCCTGAAGTGAACAAGGATCGATAAAATCCAACATCATTTTATCAGGGAATAAAGTTAGAGTATCGACTAAAAATTCAATGAGAAAAAGTAATTCTTTATCCGGTTCCGGTGGCGTTGGTGGATAAGATTCGTTTCCATCGTCCATTTTACCATTATTTTCTTTTTTATTATTTTTATCCATGGATTCTGAATTTTTACCGTTTTCCATCGAACTTTCTCTTCCGGTTATTTCCGCATTGTAGTCATCCGAATCCTCTCCTCCTCCTCCTTCGTTTTTACCCTTTTTTTTATCATTTTCTGATATTGTTTTATTTAAACCCGAAATTTTGGAAATTAAAAATTTTTAACGAAAATAAATAAATAAAAAAAATTTTAAAGTTTAAATTTTGATTTAATAACAAAAAAAAAAAAAAAAAAAAATGAAAACGAAAAATGTAAACAAAAGCAGAAGAAAAAAAAAATTCAAAGGAAAAAAAAAAAAAAAAATTGCATTTCTTACTCTATGACTTATCAAGAAATTTTTAATATTTTTCTTCTTTTTCTTCTTTCTAGACTTTAATCTTAAGACTTGGAATTTTGTATAATAAATTTATATGAAAAATTCCCGATGATAATAATAATGATAATGATAATAATAATAATGATGATAACATTCAAAAATTTATATTTACTTAAAGATTTTCAAAATCATCGCATAAATAATCCGAAGAGAAATTGATTGTATAAGAAAAATTCTTTCTTTCTTACCATTCAAAACCCAGGAGCTTAAGAAGACGAACTTTTCATCGGGTTTGGTTTTTTTTTTGCTTCTGCTGTTAAAACTAAGAGAGAGAGAGAGAGAGAGTGTGAGAGATGACAAATTTTATAACCTCAAAAGGTTTAATATTTTCTTTCTTTCTTTCCTTTTTCTTATCCTCCTTTTTCCCCTTTTTCGATTTATATATATATATATAACGTACATATATTTTCTTATTTTACCTTTGTAAGAAATTTAAAGAATAGAGAAAATTTTCTTTCTCCCTTCCTCTCACTCACTCTCTCTCTCTCACTCTTTCGAGTTAAATTCACGGACTTTAGTTATATTAGTTTTCTATGATAAATCGTTAGATTTTAAAAACGTGTAATAATAATAATAATAATAATGATAATAATCGAATAGGACACGTTTTCAAATATGTTATTAAACTAACTGTGTAAAGAAAAGTTGAATGGCTTCAAGGCTGGGAAACTTGCTGGGGAGCGGGCGGGATGAATAAGAAGAAAATGGTGGTGGTAGTGGTGGGAAGGTGGACCAACGCCATTTTTCAAATTCTCTATCTCACTCTCTCTTTCTCTCATTCTTTTGAATTTAATTTTGAATACCTTGAATTGTATAACTAAAAACTTTTATACATTCATTAGTTTGCCGTTATATAGAAAATTTTTTCTTTTTGTTTTCTTTTTTGTAATTTTTTCGAGAAAAAAAAGGGGAGAGGAGAGAGGAGGAGGAAGAGGAAAAGAGGAATCAATCAAGTGAGAAAAAATTGATTCGAAGAATTTAAAAAAAAAAAAAAAGCAAATGATAATGTTTAGTTTAGCATAATTTTTTTTTTCCCTTTTAAACGATTAGAGAAGAAGAAAAAGAAGAAGAAGAAGAAGCAGAAGAAAAGAAAAAAGGTGGAATTTCCTTTACTGATTGCCCGTATCCGTTTCCATACTTGATTTAACTCTGTGAACTTTTTTTTTTTTTTTTTTTTTTTTTTACCCTGTTATTTTGCCACCCCTGATTGACTGACGATCGTGATGGGTGTTTGATTTTACATTTTTCTAAATTTAAACATTCCAGAATGCAAATTGAATAAAAGGTTCATTTATTTTTCGTGTGCGTGTGCGTATGTATATCCTCATCCTTTTTTTCTATTCCCTTTTTTTTTCTGGGAGAGTAAAAAAAAAAAATCTTTTTTATTTTTATTCCCGACAAAAGCAAAAAAAAAAAATTTTTTTTTTTCTTAAAAAAAAAGGAGAGGTTAAATTACAAGTAGAAAAAAAAAGAAAAAAAAATTAATCCCCGAAGAAAGAGAGAGAGAGAGAGAGAGAGAGAGATGGAGATAGAAAATGTCGTTAATTTGCAATTATGCAATTTGTGAGCGTGGGTGTACGCGCGCGCGCGCACTCTCGCGACACAATTTTAAATTTATTATTTTTAAACTGAGAGCAGACGACGTGACGTCATAATTTTTCCTTGTTTTCCTAACGTTCGAACTGTTAGAATCAAATATACCGAATAGTCGTTAAAAAAATTAACAAAAAGAAAAACCCCTCGAGGCCTCAATCGAAACGTTTTATTATTATTATTATTATTATTATTATTATTATTATTGTTATTAATTATTATTATTATTATTTATTATTATTATTATTATTCGAAATCTAAAACACAATGAATGATTTAAATTTAAAAAAACTAAATTAACTTTTTCTTTGGTTTTGAATTTCCGTTAGAAAATTTCCGTTAAAATTTTTGAATTTTAAACGAATCGAATGGAACGTTATTCTTCCCGTTCTTTTTTTTTTTTTTTTTTACAGTTTTCGCGTTTGTTTGGCGATATTTAAAAAAAAAATTTGCTTTATTTTGTGAATTTCAATGAGGAACGTCCTGTAAAAAGAAAAAAATTTTTATATATTTACACGATGACCGCGAAATAAAAGAAAAAAAACTCAAACTCAATAAAAAAAAAAAAAAGGAAAATAAAAAAACTATTTTTATTTTTTCTTTAGAAAATAAATGAATGAAGAATGTTTTTAAGATGAACAAAAAAAAGGGAGGAAAACAAAAAAACATAAAAAGACGCCACACGTTTTTGTTATTGTTGTTGTTGTTGTTTACCTCTTGCCAAAATAAAAAGCAGACGACGACGACTACTTCTTACTCATTTTTTTCCCCCCCAACGTTACTTAAACTTATGATTGATTTATTTTGTTATTGTTATTCAAATTTACAAGAAAAAAAAAAAAGTAAAGTGAAACCGCTTCTGCTACCACCACCACCACCACCACCACCATCACCATCATCGAATTTCTTTCATTTATCGTCTATATATTTTTAATCTCCCCCCCCCTCTCTCTCTTTCATACAAATTTTTTTAGTTTTGGTAAACAAGAAAAGAAAAAAACCGTAATGGAGGAAAAAAATAAAAAAAAACAATTTTTGTTCTTTTCTTTGTAAACTTTTAACTACGACAACAACAACCCCCCCATTTGTGTTGTTGTTAAGGGATGCTAAGACATTTTAACACCTTTTAACCCTTTTGACACGATTCTTTTTTTTTTTTTTCTTAAGACTTTCTCATCATTTCAAGAAGTTACTTGTCAGATGTTTCCCTTCGACAACCAACTTCCGACTTTAAAATTAAAAAAAAAAATAATGATGATGATAATGATGATAATTTTCTTTTCAATTCTTTCGACGTTTTTACTTTAAAAAAAAAAAAAAAATTTCATTTTTTATCGAAGGAAAATAGATTAAAAGTGAAAGAGAGAGAGAGAAAGAGAGAGATTTAAGGGGGATGATAAATCATAATTCATAAACTTTTTCTTTTTCTTCTGCTTTTTTTTTTTTTTTTTAATAAAAGAAAAAAAAAGAAAAAGAAATTATAAAATTGTTTGTGTTTCGCAGATGGAAACGTTAATTATAAAAAATTATTAATAATAATAATAATAATAATAATAAGTTTAATTTATCAGTAAATTTCGAAGGGTGCGAAAAAAGAAAAAAAAGTGACCGGAAGTGACGTGGCAGTAACGATCGGATCATTTAAAAAAATTTTTCCCATTAATTTACTAATAACTGTCGCGAGATTCTTTAATTATTTTTTTTTTATTTTCGATATTATTTTGATAGTCGATCGATTAATCGATTAATCGATCGATCGTTGTGATTGTAATAATAGTCGTCGTCGTCGTTTTTTTTTTTTTTTAAATTCAAATCGTACGTTATTAAACGAAAATGTTTTTTGTCGTTTGTTTGTTTGTTTGGGGAACGAACGGGAAGAAAAATAAGTAGAAGGAGTAGAAGAATAATAAGAAGAAGAAAAATTAAGAATTATAAAATTTAACAATGTTATTGAGAGAAAGATGGAGAGAGAGAAAGAGAGAGAAAAAGTCGGTTGAAAGTAATATATATATTAAAAAGTTTTCCAAGCGTATAAGAAAAGGTTTCATTAAAGAAATGGCGTCAGGTAGGAAAGGATTTTATGGCAATAAACGGGGAAAAAACTTTTTTGTCTCTTTTTTAACGTTTTCTTTTTTCTTCCTTCCCTCCTCCCCTACTTCCCCCCTATCTCCCCGTGTCACGATTTCACGTTAATTTAATTGTTCACGAGAGGTTAATGCGACAAATCGACTTTTTTTGGAAGAAACTAAAAAATAAATCGAAAGAAAGGGGTTGAAAAATTCATTGAGAAAACGAATTATATGTTTAAATTACATACAACATCCCCCTCTTCATCATCATCCCTTACATCTTTTCTTACCATCACCATCTTCCACCACCACCCCCACCGCTTTCATTTTTAAACACCGTCAAATTTTTTACTTTTTCTCTCTCTCTTTTTTCTCATCGTACTTCCCTAATCGTTTGTCAAATTTTTTATCACCATTATTATTATTATTATTATTAAATTTTTTGACTTTTTTAACATCCCTTTCCCACGTACAAAAGGTTTGGTTGTTTGTTTGTTTGTTTGTTCGTTCGGAAAAAAAAACTATTATTGCTACGGTTAACGAAAAATTTTCCTTTGTTTTCTTTGTTTAGTAGGCGCGGTGGTCGGTCGTTTGTCGTATTTTTTTTTTGACAATGGAAACAAATATTTTCCTTTTTTTCCTTTTCTTTTTTAATTTCGGATTGTCAAAGGTATTGTTTACAAAAAAAAAAAAAAAAAAAGAAAAGCGGAAAAGGTTTAAAAAAAGGCGGTTATTAAAAATTTTTAAAAATTATTTAAACGTTACGTTATATTCTCGATGCGTGGAATAAATTTCTCCACACCCCCCGCTCCTTCCCGAAAAAAAGGGGACTTTCTCCCAAATTCTAGAAAGGATAAATTAATAATAATAAAAATAATATAATATAATAATAATAATAATAATAAAACGGAGAGGGGGGTAAAACAAAACGAAAAAACAATTAAAAATTAAAAATACTCCACACGTCGCCTCGAGTGTGATCAGAAACAATAATAATAATAATAATAAAATCATGACGTTTAAGGGATGAGGGAAAAAATGATGACGTCATAAATAAAAGAAAAATGATCCCTTTTTTAACCTACTTTTATTAGAAATTTTTTTTTTTTTTTAAATTTTTCTCTTTCCGTCATCTTTTAAAAATAAAAATAAAAACTTTCAACCCTTTTCTTTATCTTCTTAGTTTTCTTTTTATGATTTTTTGTCGCGCCTTTAAAATCATGAAACGAACGAACAAACAAACAAACAAACAAACAAATAAATGATAACAATATTAATAATAATAATATAAGAAAAAAAACAATTAATTAAAATTACTTTGGAAAAGTTTTTAAATAGAAAAAAAAAAAGAAAAAATAACTGCTACTTCTACGAACGAACGACAAACAACCCCTTCTTACCTCTTTTTATTATTTTTTTTTTCGTTAACCACCCTCCGCCCCGATAAAATCACCCTCGAGTAACTAATTGAGTTAGAAAACTTTTTTTTTTTTATACAATAAGAGATTAAAAAAAAAAAAAAAGTTAAAATTGAAAAAAAAAAAAAAGAAGAAAATGTTTTTTTAGCATAAAAAAAAAAACGAACGATTCGAATGAATAACGTAAAAGTCAAAAGGGGGTAGATAGGAATAAAGGGGTAGGTTGGTAGGTAGGTTGGTTGTTGATGATGATTAAGGGATGAAAATACCCATACGAAGAAAACAAAAAAAAAAAAAAAGGAACATTAAATTAACCTCTTTTGTTTTGTTTGTTTATTGTTGAGTAAAAAAAAAAAAAAAAAAATTTCCCGCACCTAAAGATGATACGAACGAACGGAAAAATAATAATAATAATAATAAAAAAGGTCAGGGGGCTTTCGGAAAAAAAAAAAAAAAAGTTTTTTCAATCAATGAGGGTGAGAGTGAGAGAGACTTATAAGGGATGAAATACTAAAAAAAAAAAAAAGGGGTTGAAATGTTTCAAAACTTTTTTCATTTATCAGAGGTGAAGTGTGAAAAGCTCACGAAAATGACTTCCTCCTTCTTTCGCCTCTAATTTATTTTCTTTTCACTTAAATTAAGTCATTTAAAAAATAAAAAAA